CATAGATCGATGAAGGTTACAATCTGACGACCTTCACAATAACTGATGAAAGCTCTAATCAACAGCCTTCACGGTTACAATCTGACGACCTTCACAATAACTGATGAAAGCTCTAATCAACAGCCTTCACAATCAACATCGGGAGTTACAATTAATCAACAGCCTTCACAATCAACATCGGGAGTTACAATCTGACGACTCTCATATTTTTAAGGAGCCAATAAGAAGATTACAAGATGATGATCTTTGCAACACTCTAGCAAAAAAGACTACAAATTGACGGTCTCTTCAAATCAAAACGTAGATATCTCTTAAACTGTAAGGAATTTGGCAAAACGGACAGGAACAAACCAAACCTTATATGGTTTGGTTTGGTTGGCTCCGTCTTGTCGAGATAGTCGATTTTTATATATAATTTGTTCAATTCCGACTTACGGTTTGAAAGTTATGACCTGGTCTTCGCAACAAGTTATGTTTCGAAGTCCGTCTGCAAGACTAGACTTCACCTGAACATTGGACTTAGCATGAAGCTCACCAAGCTCGCCTGAGGCTCGCCTTTGTATTCCAGAATCAAAACGCAGAGCTCATGCCCGCATTCCAAATGCAAAACACAGGGTTCATCCCCAGCGTTCAAGTCCAGACGCAGAGCTCATGGACGCGTTCCCAGAACAAAACGCGGAGGTCCTCCCTGCATTGCAACACTAAAACGCAGAGGACCTCCCCCATGTGTCAGCAACAAAATGCAGAGGTCTTCCCTTCATTGCAATATCAAAACGTAAAGGTTGGTCGGTCCTGCGTTGCAACATCAAAAACGCAGAGGTCCTCCCTACGTTGCAACATCAAAATGCAGAGGTCCTCCCTACGTTGTAACATCCAAACACAGACTTCATTGTTGCGTTTTCAGCCCAAAACGCAAAACCCAACTCTGCGTTCCAGATCCAAAAAGCGGTGCGGCCACTATGTTCTGAGCTAACTAGAAATGCCCAACTCTGCATTTCAGGTCTAAAACGTAGAGTTCGGGCCCAGAACGCTGTTTTCAGCGTTTGACTCGTTCAAACACGAGTTGAACGGTTCCAGAAACCGCTTTCTCCCCACGATTTGAGGTATTTTCACCCCACTTAGGAGCAGATTAAGAGAACGATTACACCCCATTCAACCCCATTATGAAAGAATTAAGGGGGCGGTTACACCCCTTAATCCTCTATAAATAGCTGGGAAATCAGCTTAGTCCGGATACTTCGGCTTGGAAAAAAAGAAGAGATCTTTGGTTGATTTTTTGGGATCTTCTATCTGAAGCTTTGGAGATCAGCAACTTGGAGGAACTCTTGGATCATCTTGGAAGGCTTTTATTGAAAGCGTTTGAGATTAATCGACTTGGCTTTTTGAACTCTTTCTAAGAGTTCTTCTCAACTCGATCAGAGTTAAAAACTTACTCTGCAAGTTCTTCTAAACTCTTTCTAAGAGTTCTTCTCAACTCGATCAGAGTTAAAAACTTACTCTGCAAGTTCTTCTAAACTCGTTCTGAGTTCTTAAACTCGTTAAGAGTTATTTTCAAAGTTGTCACGCAAGTTATCCTCGACATCAATCAAGATGATTCAACCGTGTTCCACGAGTTTAAGATGTTCGGACCGTCAACGAGAAGCAAACTCAACGTGAGCATTCGAGGGAGACATCTCATCGCTATCGTGAAGAACCCAAACTTAAACAAATAGGAGAATTCAAATCAATTCTTTTCTCTTTTGTAAACAGGAAATTCAACTTGTAATCGAGATCGAGAGAGTTGTAAATATTCTTTTTCTAAGCAGTTAGAAGGAATAAATCAAATTCGATTCTCTCAATTTTCTTCTTACAAATTTTCCAGCAAACAACATCGAACCAATTTGAGTTAACAAATGAGACTTAAATTTTAATAAATTAGACTTGACAATCTTCCAATTAGACTTAACGTTATACTTATTAGACTTTGAATTCCTCTCAATTAGAATTAACATTGAACATTTTAGACTTAATATTATTTTTATTACAAATAATATGCTTTTCTTTAGATTAAAAATATTTTCCAATTGGGCTTAACATTTAACCGATTAGACTTAATATTTAACTCTATAGACTTAGCATTAGACCGTTTAGAATTAATATCATTTTCATTACAAGTAACATGTTTTTCATTAGATAAAAAAATATCTTCCAACTAGGTTTAACATTTAGCCGATTTGATTAAATATTCAACTCTATAGACTTAACATTTAACCAATTATAATTAATATCACACCAATTAGACTTAACATACAACACATTAGAATTAACATGTAATAAATTATACTTAATATTTAACAAATTAGATGTAACATATAATCCATTACACTAAACGTTCCATATTTAGACTTATTATTTAACCCAATAGACTTAACATACAAGCCATTGGACTTCACTTCCAACTCTATAGACTTAATATTTAATCAATTAGAATTAACATCACGCCAATTAGACTTAACATATAACGCGTTAGACTTAACATGTAACAAATTACACTTAACATTTAACAAATTAGACTTATTATTCAACCCATTATACTTAACATACAAGCCTTTGACTTCACTTTCAACTCATTAGACTTAATATCCCACATTGGGCTTGAACTTAACATCAAAAATTGTTAAACAAAAATCACATTTAGCCGGTATTTCTTTAAATTTTCATCTTTCCACGATGTTCAAACAGAAATTATGAATTTTTTTTTAAAAAAACCGATAGCCTAGAGGTCTTGTTGAACTTGCGACGACCTCGAGTTCCTCCTTGTCCTCCTCCGACACCACCTCCTCCGGCTCGTTCTTCACCACCTCTTCGCCTTCAGTGTTGGAGACCGATCTGTTGTTTGACGGATCCTCCGACGAGAACGACGAATTTGAGGGTTTCATCATTGTCGGCCAAATTAGGGCTTTTTTTAGTTTCGGGGGGAAAGAAAGACAGAGCAGAGAAAATTAGCGGGAGAAGAGGAGTGAATAATATTGGGTTTTTCTAAGTAATACACCCCCAGATTAACAACATGGCTGGAGTGTACACCTAAGTTCGGTGGTGGCGGAGGATGATGTCGGCGTCTGAGAGAAAAAGGAGGAAGAGGGAGAGAGGACGGAGGACATGGATTAGAAGAAAGGATGAGAGGAGAGGAGAGGAGAGGAGAGGAGGAAGGAAGAGAAAAGAGTGGAGGAGATAAGGGTATTTTAAAAAAAAAATTATTTCTCTCTCTCACTCTCTTTGTGCTTAATTGACAAAGAATAATGGCTGGATAAAGGCTAAATCACATAGGTTTGGATTTTAGGGGTTGAATCACATGGTAAAAAAGTTGAAGATGTTGATCATATGTAGTTCTTAAAATTAGGGCCTTGACACAATGTTCTCTAATCACATTTAAGAGTTCAATAAAAAAATAAAAGAAAATTTTCTTAACTATTAGATTTATATCATGATGCTCCAAAATAATTAACTTCCTCTACATCCCAATTTGAGTAGCAGCCAAATTATGTAAAATAAAGGTGAACAAATATGAACTGTATTACTTCCCTCCCCTAAAAAAACTCTCACACAAAGTAAATTCATTTAAATTCGTTTCTCTTCCCCCTCAATCACTCCTATCTAAATAAAACATTAGCTTCCCTTACGACTTAATCGTATTAGACTATCATAAAAATAATTCATCAACTTCATTGATGCTAATTGACAAGGAGATGTTTGATTAAATAATAACAAAGGATTTTGTAATTAATGTTAAGGAGACAAACCCTTATCGTTCTTCCAACTTAATTAAGGGAAAGCGACGTATCGTTTCTTTTCCGAAGAGAAGTGATGCGTGCTTTGATGTAATCTTCATAATTTCAGTACCCAGCTTCAGATTGTGAACCGTTCCTTAGAAGCTAGCAGTATAATACTAGCTAGCTAATTCGTTCCCAACTATTCAATCAATAAAATAAAATAAGATAAAATAAAAATCGCCCAAATTAATCTAGATTAGGCCAATCCACCTGGCGTTCTTCTCCGGGTGTTAATCACTAAGGGGGTGTTTGTTTCAAATCCTATAATTTTAGAATATGAATTTTATCATGAGATTTAAAATCCATAGGTGTTTTGTTATGAGTTGGAATTTCTAAAATGTTGTTTGTTTCATTAATATTTTGGGATTTGGAATACTACAATTTGTAATATTTTCTTTGTTTCAAGCTCAAATTGTAGCATTATCAAATGTCAAAATTTTGTAATATGATAAATATGCTATCTTGGTGAGGTTACCTCCCACAAAAATATAAAATTGGTACTTGTCAAATCATTTCCAATCGAGGGGTAAGCACACCCATTTATGGAATTTGTTAAAATCCTCTCCAATTGAGAGGATTTGACAAATTCTAAAAATTAAGCACTTTTTGCACTTTTAGGATTCAATATTCTAAAAATTTTCTTAAAACAAACATCATATATAGAATCCCAAAATACAAAAAAACTCACTTTTTTATCCCAAAACATATAGGGGGTGTTTGTTTGCATGCAAGTGAAAGATGAAAGTGAGGAAGTTACTTTCATTTAACAATTAAGGTGTTTGTTTTCATGTAAGTGGTTATGAAAGTGAGATGTAAGAAAGTTGACACATAAGATTTAATGCAATTTTGACTTCCCCTAAAAAAGTGGTGAAGTCACATGAAAGTGACAAAAAGGTAACTAATTTAATTAAATAATTTTAATTATATTTTCTAATTAATCTTATTTTGCCACATCATCTTCATATTGCACTTTCGATAATAATTTAATTTTTCAAACAAACATTGTATTTCACTTGCGTGCTGACATGGATGTAAAAGTCATTTGTAAAAAAAAAGTAACTTACATATTTTAAATTCACTTTCAGATTGCCAAACACCCCCATAATCCATACCAAATGCCAAAATTTTTGGTGAAACAAACACCCCCTTGAATGAACCGAAAATCCTCACCATAAAGTTTGAGAGAAACAACATTGAACGCAAGAAACAAAAGTTCACACACGCTAGTAAACAAAATACAAGATTGGGGTGGGGGGATTTTTTTCGCAGGAAATGGACGCCGTCGAGAAGATGAAGTCAGTGTTTGAACACTTGAAGACGCAGATCTACGAGTGAGTTTAATTTCACCCATATCCCTCAATCTAAGCCACTTTCTAAAATCCCTCAATCTTCATCTCCCTCAATCTAAGTATCTTCTTCCCACACCGTTCTCTTCTCCCTCTTCAAAGCGACAGTTCATCTTCTCTTGGGAAACAGCCTATTTTAGATCTGACCCGCTCCAAAACGCCGTTCGCACGAGGCCGACACGCTACCAAGGTTGGGTTTTTTTTTTCTTTTCCTTTTCTTTTAACAATCGAAATCAAAATTTAACTAAAGGAGAAGGGGAAGGAATCGATGGGGGTTTTGGGAGACAAGAGTAGCTGGTGCTTCTGCTCCGGCGGCGGTAAATCGGAGAGAGTCAAGGGGAGCATATTTTCCGGCAAGTCGCCGGCGATGGCTGAAATCTCTGGCGGATGAAATGAGTCCTCATTCACCGGAGTCTTCTGCTCACTACGCATACTAACATCCCGTCGGTGGCGGTGGCGGAGACCGCGGAGGTTCGAATCAATCGCCGCCGAGATTTGGCTTGCTTAGTACCTCTCAGGTTCTCACTTTCTCCTCTGCGTTGGATGCCTTTTGTTTTTGGGCAGTGTTTTGTAATTTGCTCAAGTTTTTAGCTGAGGCCTGGAACTGGCATTGTATTTATTATCATGATTTTGTTATAACTTAAAGCTTGATTTTTGAGGCATTTTTGTTGAAATGAGTTATTTTGCCTGCGGGTTGCATAATTTGGCCACCTCATATAGATTTTAGGATTGGATGTTTTCAGTCAGCAACTGGGCTGAAAACTAGAAGTAAAACGAGGTTAATGCCAAATAGAAGTTAAATTAATATGCTGATGGTTTCATATATTTTTGTAATGATTGTTTGGATATGCTGCTTCTGAGCTTTTTGTTAAATTAATCTGCTTGACTAGAGAGGAAGAACAAAGAGGCCGAGAAGGGCACAGGCAGCAAATAAAAAGTGAAAGAAACAGGACATTCTTATGTGCCATCGGTCTTCCGCTACCCCTAAATTCTCTCTTTTTTGGTACTAATGAACATTAGATGATATCACTCGAGACAATGAAACTAACGAATATCATGTGACATAGGATACTAATAGAAGTCTCTTATATGCATGCAATGATGTGAGGTGAATCTTAGTCAGTCAAGTGTGGCTATGAGGTATTCTCTCTCCCATTTATTCACTCGACTCTTTATAAGAAATATTTGCATTTATTAATATTTATTTGTTCTAACTATTTCTTATTATTTGGCTATTTTCGTAGGCTCGGATTTTGTCTGAAATACCAAGATTCCCTTCATTTAGATATATTCTTCAAAATTGCTAAATCTTCATTATGGAAAAGTGAGTTTTGTTTTCAACTATCTCTGACTCTTTAGCAGATTTATTGTCTATAAACGGAGTCTGGGACATATTGGGTTAGTTTGTAATCAGTGTAAGAAATTTAAGTTTTGCCAAAAGTAAGTTTCTCCTAGCAATCCATAGCTTACTGTTGATGCAAAATTTTAGTGTTTTAAATGTTCAATTGCATGGCAACTAATTTATATTAAGAGAACCTGCATGTTAGTTTATGCAAAATTTTAGGGATTTTTTAATGTTAATCTTATTATTTTCTTTTAATTGGAATTTTAGTTTTTTTTGTACTACTATGGGTGTTCATTATATTTTTTGTGTTATTTTGTTTCTTCAAATAGTATGGTGAACACGACGTTCATGATGAGCTAAATGTGTGGTTGTGCAGAAGAAGAGTTGTGTCAATGAAATTGGCTCATTTGTTTTGTGAGAACAAGCAATAATAGGAGTCTAATTATTGAGTACACAACCTCTTTTAGCAAGTTGGATATGAAGATTTTTATTTCCATTTTGAACACGTTAGGTAAAGTATAGTGCTCAATGTAAATAGAATTTCACATCTGAAGATTTACATGAGAAATGTTTTGGTGAAGGGTTATTTTTGCTTTTCTCTCTGGACTTTTTTAGAGTTATTTGATAATTTTATTTACAGCTACATGGTATTACTCAAAACTTTTTACACATGTTTACTTAATTTTTTAGTTTAATTTATGTGGACATATTGATCATCAGAAGCTAAATTCTCTACAAGTGGTTTTGAAGATGGAGAGGTGCAAATATTATTCTCATATGACTGTACTTTAGAAATTTGAAAATTGAGATACTTGTGACAATTACTAACTATGAAAGACTCATCTTTGTATCCATACTGTACTATAAAAATTTCAACCGGTGACCATGTTGTAACGAGTATAAGAAAGAAAATATAAGCAATATTTAACTAAATTTATTTGACTTTATTATCTTATCTAATTTATCACCATACGGATGATCCAAGTTTGCATTGTACGTATAGCTTTTAGGCTTTTTTTAATCAATCTTTTTGTTATTTTGAAAAGGTACTTAAAAGATCAATTGGAAAAATAATCAGTTGCATTTAATTTCTGGCGTGACACTAGACATCTGAAAAGGATCAAAATATTATAGATTTTATTTTATTTGTATTTTTGTAATATATTTTAACTAATCGTGCACTGCCATATTAACTAATGAGTACGCTCCGATCTAATTTTCACACATATGCTCCCTTGCATTTCATGTTTGTAATGGTAATGGTTGAGTATTTCACACTTTTTCTTTTTTCAAGTTACAATTCTATCATAACCACTTTGTGCGGGGTTCAATTGTGCTAGATAGGAGTAGTCTAATTACCAAAATATCCTCTCCAAACCATATACTTGGTTCAGAATGCTGTGCACCAGGAAATATGGTATAATATGATTTCTACTCTCTTTTTTCATGTCTATTATATTCTTCTTTCAAGCATATAAATTGAATATACTTGGATATTTTTAATTATAATGACATGTAATACAAGTGTTACTCCTTCTCATATAAGTGAGACTATAAGTTTTATAATTGACTACTAACAACTGAAATATATTAGTTTTAGACAACTATCATTTTAAAATTATATAATGAACAATATATAACAAATTGTATATTATTCTTGTCGAAAGTCTAAAGAATTTGTATTGCAATTTTTCTTTCAGCATAATCTTTTCAAAAAAGTTGTGGATTTTCTCTACACAAATTCGTTCATCGCACGGGTCCAAAATTTTAAATATGTTTTCTCATTTTAATGGTGTTGTCATAAATAATATAAATATTACTTCATTGAAAAAAATTTGTGAGTCTAATAGAGCTTGGCCATGACACCACAGGATCCCTAAGAAATTTTCCTGTAATTTATACTAGCAAGACCTCGTACTTCTATTAGTGTAGATAGACATTCAAAGTCTGCTTCATCTTTTATATTTGCATCTTCACTAGAAATCTTATATTTCTTATTTTGCTCACATATAAAAGCATATTTTAGTTTCTTCACTTGAAGTCAAACAAATGGAGTTGTGTAAAAATTGAGAGAGCAATTGATTGTAATAGGCTGATAAGTTATTAGATGCTTTTGTATTTTATTTCTTTGTCATTTTATGAGGCATTTTTTTAGTTATTTATTTATTTAATTATGAATATCAATAAATGATGATTTGAGTTTGTGTTTTTATTGTTGTTAGTAAGGTAAAGATTCGGAGTTTTGAACGTTGTTGTTGGCTTGAACGCTTTGATGCCCAAGTTTCAAGCCCGTGCGATGCACGGATTTCTCTAAAATACAAAAATTGATATAGCAAAATAATACAAAATAAAACGGTAATAAAATGTAAGTAGTCAGAAATGATACAACCTAAACTGCATATATGTTTGACTTAATATTAAACTGTTAAAAAGAATGAAAATATAATTCTCATATTCTCATAACAAAACTGCTTAAAATGCCTAATGTCTTCATGATTAATGTCATAATAATTTTTTATAGCAAGTAATTAGTATGAAGTATAATTATGACGTTAGTCGCAATCTTTTGATGCTTTTTGACTTTTCAAAACTTTTCCTATAACTTTTTTAAAAAATATAAGAAAATCATATTTTAGGTGGAAAATATTTCCTATAATTTGTAGAAATTGAACCAAACACCTCTTAATTTGAAATGTCTTGTGAGAAGTTGAGAATATGATAGTGATTTCAATAATTTGGAGAATCAATTTCCCTCCAATTACTCTCACCACTTTAGCGAGGGACTAACGTCATAATAACCAAAAAGATTGGGGAATCTAATAGCAACTTTAATGATTTGAAGGACTAACTCCAAATATAATGATTTGAAGGACTAATCCCAAATATTCTAAGATTTGAAGGACTTAGTAGCAGTTTCAATTGTTCACTAGCAGCTTTGCACGTGCAAATGCACGTGCAGATTATTAAACCTTATAATTTGAAGTTTTTATTAAAAAAAGCATAAATATAGTTGTACGCTATATTTTTATAACTGAAAAATTATTTTTTCCTTATCTTATATTTATCTTTTCATTTTTTATGTTGTAACTTTATCGATCAGAAGACGAGTTTTATTATGTTCTCTATCACTTTATTAATTTATGTGATGAGAAGCGAAATACTTCTTTTTAGTTTTTTGTAATTTTTAATTTATTTTCTATGTCCCATCAAATTTGTCGTTTAGCTACAAATTTTTAAGAAAAATAACTTAAAAATGTATGTTTAATATTCTCATTATTTATATAATTTTGAAAATTTACTAATAACATTATCTAATTGTATTATGGGTACACTAATAGAAAATAGGGTATTGGCGACGGATATCGAATCTGTCGCCAACACAAACATTGGCGATGTGTCGTTTCCCGTCGGCCAATACTCGTCAAACAATTGGCGACGGAACTGGCCCGTCGCCAATACTAATTGGCGACGACATCAACAATTGGCGACAAATAGTACAATTATTGGCGACAAAGTTTACCCATCGCCAATAGTTATTGGCGACGGATCCATGTCGTCGCTAATACGTATACCAAACTAATTATTCAGTCATATTTGATTCGGTAGTTCATTTAACGCTAAACAAATATTTTTTAGAATTCGAGTTTGCTAAAGATTGGAATTTGAGCAGATGTATATTTAATTTGTTTGTACATTAAATATTTGTTTAAAATTGATCACGTGTTATTACTTGTATTATTGCATATATGATGCCGTATTTTAACCATTTACCTTTTCAACTTAAGTTTTATATACGGATTTTAAGACTTAAATAAACTTAAATTTGTTTTCTAATTAAATATTTATTTAAATATATACACATCATATAGTATAAATAAATAATTTTTATTTATGAATTTTAATACTAATTGAAAATTAAAATTAAATTATTTGGTGGAATAAATATACTTTGACATTCGATAAGTATTCGTGAGTTTTTGGGTTCGACTTTGATTAATTTAGAGAAAATGATGAGAAAAATGAATATGATGAGAAAATGATGAGAGGCCAATGAAGAGATCATTTTTAGTTATACGTGTTACGAACATGTAATCATATTAATCTTGTGAATAATATACCAAAACATATCATAGCTCTTTTCAATTAATTAGGGAGTCTATGTTATTTTTTAAATTTATTATCTTTTATTGTTTATGCTAGTAAATTCGATGACCTTCACTACTCTTAATTGGCTTTAACAACATTAATAAATGTGAGAAGAGCTTAATGAGATTTAATCACTAAAGCACTGATAAAAATAGTTTGGATAAAGTTCTCTTAGAGTTTTATAAGGTTAAGAGGAGAAAGAACCGTCGAAATTGAGTTATAGCGTAGATGATATCTGTTGAAGGTATTTTTTTAATGAATTTAGTTTTCACGTTTTAACGGGTCAACTAGGTCCATACGGGTTAACTTTTTATAATTAAAAGTCAAAGAAAACTAGTAATAATAGTAAATATTGTTATGATTTGAGGGATGTAATAGAAATTTTCATGATTTGAGTGAGTAAAATTGAAATATTGAAGATTTGAGAGACTAATTTGGAAATATTGAATATTTGAGGGAGTAATATTGAAATAATCAAATCATTAACTTTGACTCGTAGGATGTAAAAGAAAAATTAGTAAGAATAGTTAGATTTTAGGGTTGCAATAGCAATTTCTATGAGATTTTGGGAACTAATATGAAAATATAATAACTTTGAGGGGCTTAAAATTAAAATATCCTAGACATAAATATCTCAACCAAACCTTAATCCAAACCCTCTCTTCTCACCTCCGTTCTCTCTCTTTACCTTAGTGCCTCATTCTGAAAACCCCCAGCCTCCCTTCAACAACCGCGGCGCCCTCGACAACCCCACACGCTACCTCGACCGCCGCACGCATTGCACGTCGACGAACCACCGCCCTTCCCATGACCCACCGCACGCCGCCAGTCGACCGCACGCCTCCCTTCGACGACCTCGCACGCCGCCCCGTCGACCCTGCACGACACAGTCGACGACCGCACATCCCTCGCAGCGACCGTTGGCACACACCCTCGACTACCAACGCCTCCCTCGATGACCCGCCGCCCTCGATGACCCGGTGCACGCCGCCCTCGACGACCAGACGCCCTAGCCAATCCTCCTTAGAGAGGTACTTTCAAAATTTTTGAATATTTTGAATTTTTAAATTATTTTTATTTACTGTTTTTATCTTTTGAATATTGTAGAATGCTTTTTACCCTAAACTTGATCTTAGCCCTAATTACAACACAAATCTTTAAACCTTATCGAAACCCTAACCCATAAAAGAAATTGGTAATAAATCTAACTTATACCTTAATAATAGTAATTATTCAAATAATTATCCTTATTATTTTTAGACATATAACCCTAATACTCTAAAATATGTAAATTAATCAAAGATTTTTATATTTTTTTTTAAAAAATTAGTAGTGAGATATATAACACAATAATGTGTTATATTTTAATTTTAGGTGAATAACAAGTTAACGTCAGCCGTAGATCCCCGTCCAATAATTACTACCAATTATTTAGATTTATAATATAAATAGACGATTCCACTTTGGGTATGAAATTTAAATTATACCGAAGAGGATCGCTTAATTTATATTATAAGTAGAAAGAATTGGAAAGTAACTATTGGATCTATCCAGTTCGGACGGTTTAGGAATATAGTAGTGTATACATTTAACTTGGTATACTTTGTGCATTTTCGTTTCTAGAAAATTTCGGTCACACGTACTTGTTAGTCTCTGGGTACAATAAGCGTATGTTGTTATGTGTATCGGCCTATTACTTACCGATTTCGGTCCATTACCGATACACATAATAACATCCTCACAGTGTACTTGGAGAACAGCGGGTAGGTGCTGCCAAAATTTTTTAGAAATAAAAATACACATAGTAATCAAAGTTAGATGTAAGCACTACTATATTCTTAATGGGATAGAAGTCTTCCTATGACAGGTGAGAGTGTTGGTTTAAATCAAGATTACTTATCACAGAGTGTTAGCTTTTATTTGGTTTCAAAGCTATACAATCATTTTTTTATGATCTACTCCTTATGCTCAGATCGAGCTTAAGTATTTGAGTGAAAACCCGGTATGATCATATTATTGTTGTGTGCGGCGGTCAATTTTTTATGCTTCAAGGAACCAAACCAAAACATCGAGATAGAAGGCTAAACAATCCAAGATAACGGCACAAACACAAATAACCAATTGTTACGTGGTTCGGCAAGTTACCTACGTTCACGGGGCAAGAAGGGGATGGGTTTTTACTAATAGAGAAAAAGAGTACAAACTGAGATTACAAATCACTCAAAACAACAAACTAATCTCACCAACAAATCTCTAATTCTCTCCAAAATAAAACCCTAACCAATAGCTCAAAAAATACTTCTTTTCTATGCTCCAAATATCCCCCAATCAATGCTTAATCAAAGCCTAATCAAAACCAAAGAAACCCTAAAATGTGTCTTTATTTATAACAAAACATAATCCCAAATAAATTAGGATTCTAAAAACGAGTCTGCCATACCCGGGGGTGGCAGACACCACACCTCTGAAAACAGTGCAGATTCTGCCATACCTGGGTGTGGCAGACACCATACCAGGATGTGGTGGAGCCTGTCATGCTTATTTTTCACGTTTTTCTCAAATTTCTTCGTCGTTTTCACAATTCTCCATCTCGGCAAAGTTTTTCCAAAACTGAGCCGACACCAACCAAAACAAAAGTCTTACTTGTTGTGTTCAGTACGAAGTGGAACAAAACCATGACAACGGACTCAATCCACAACAAGTCGAGAACCCAAACGAGAATGCAAACAAACTCCAAATGTCGGTATCAACTCACCAAACCGACTACATCATAAATAATTGCCTACGTATCCTTTTGCACAAGGAATCAAACATTCACGTAGTTCACCCAACGTCCTCCAAAGGCCCTCAATCAAATAGAAGGGTTCTTAACCTTTCTCTAACATCACCAACGAATCTGCAACTGATAGCTCTCCCAATGGCCCCAAAGTGAAACAATCCAAACACCTCCACCCGAGGTGAACCAACGGCCATAACCAAATGCAAACTATGTCCACCAGCTGCACTCGAATCAACTAATTTATCATCTGCATCCAAATCCAAATGATCCCCAAACTGTGTCACCTCAGCTAGAATCCCAAACGATGCAGTATGATCTGAATTATGTGGAGTAATCTGCACCTAACGTGGAGTACCATTACTCTTCACCCGCTACGATATCCTAATGATCTGATCAACACTCTTCACCTGCTGAGAGTCGATTATGACATACCTACTCAGAACAAAATCAAAGTCTCTCAACTGATAACCAAACGAGCCTCTGAATCCCAAATGTGTAAGCGGATCAAATCTCACATCCTCGATGTGACCAAATACTGGGCAACCAAATATCCAACGCAACCCAAAATCTAAAGCAGCTCTACCAGATCCAAAATCTCCAAATGTAGCAGTCGACAACCTATAAACAAGATGACCCAAATATGTCGAAGCCCGAACACCAAAACCAATGCTCGACATCAAACGCCAATCCTCCTCAAAAAAGGAATGAACAATCAAAAATGACATCTCATCTTGTTACCCTAATGTTTCCTCTCCAATGAAGTGTCTCCAATTGTCATGAACTCGGCACAAATGCAAGAAATGACCCCTACCAGAATTAGAACGACGGGTCATCTTTCTGCTAATACACTTTGTCCATATGTTGTTAACTTTTAGGATTTTTCATACCAACGGGACTTGGTTGCAACCCACAAATGTCTAGAACAATCACCAACTACGGAAACTAAATATCGATTACCTCCCAATGATACCTCCTTGGAAGGCCCCCAAATATCTGAATGAACACCACCTAAAAGACCCCTCGATCGATGGATAGAAGTGTTAAACTCCATCTTGGTCTTCTTGCTCATCCCAATGTGCTCAAATGACTTCAATCTGTAGGTCAAAGCACTCCTCAACAATCTATGCACGACACCAATAAACAAATATCCCATAAACAAATATCTCAGCCTCAACGAATGCCACAGTCTAGCCAAATCCAAAGAAGTCGTCAGGTCTCTACCAAACACCGTGCTCCTAATTAAATAATACGAATTCTTTCTCCTGATGCCCTTCATCACAATCATGGACCCAAATGTAACCTTCAGAGATGTATCCTCCAAGGTCACCCTATAGTCTGCTACCTCCAAAACTCCAAGTGAAATGATGTTCTTCTTCAACTGAGGAACGAACCTTACTTCATTCAACTCCTGAATCATCCTGTCACATATCCTAATCCGAATGGTGTACCAATACCACCAATAGGGCATTCATGATCATTACCGATGAGCATGACATCCCCTCTTTCCAACTCCTTAAAGCTGGAGAACCAATCCCTCCTAGGGCAAATGTAGTATGAAGCACCCGAATCTAACATTCACTCTGTAGAGTCTGCAACACAAACTGACGGTAGTGCAGATAATGAGTATCCTGAAGAATCCGAATCTGAATTGTCACCACTAGTCTTGACAACATTCACCTCTGAAGCTTGAGTAGCTTTCCCTTTATTCTTCCCGGCTCGATCTGTTAACTTTGGGCATTCGACTTTCCAATATCTATCTTCTTTACAAAATACACACTGATTCCTACGAACTCCAGGATGTGCCCTTCTAGACTGCGACATCTTATTTCGGTTTGGACTCTTTGCTCTTGCGACCAATGCCCCTGCTACCGGCTCAAATAAAGTCTCCTTATCATTCTTTCGAAGCTGATAATTCATAAGTGTAGCGGTGACCTCACTATATGAAAGAGATGTCTTCCCATTAACAAGAGTAAGAATGAAGATCTCATATTTCTCGTCGGGTAAGGAACTCAACAACAACAACGTATTGTCCTCATCTTCAATCATAACATCTACATTCGTCAAATCCGCAAGAAGCTTCATGTGATCACCAATGGAGGTTTCATTCTTTAATTAGGAGCGGTAAAGCCTCCTCTTGAAATACAAGTGGTTCTCTACACTCTTGGTCAAATACTTGCTCTCAATGATCTCCTAAATCTTCTTAGCCGAAGTCTCATTAATCACATCATATTTTAAATCTTGAGTCAAACAAGATCTAATCACACCACACGCCGTTCTATTTATCTTCTTCCAAACCTTTTCCTCAATGTCATCCGGTTTCCCGTCCAACTCCAATGTATCCCCCAAATTTTACGCGTTGAGCGCCGCATACAGGACTTTGCATCATCAAAGACCAAAATTATTTGTGCCATTAACTTCTCCACATCTATCTTCATAGAGTTGATATTCAAACTTTGGACGGTCTTTACACCAGAAGTATCCTCCACAACTCCTTGTTTCTCGATCATCTATCTCAAAGCACCAACAAACTAATATGGAACAAACGAAGAATAAATCCAAACTAAAAAAGAGAGATTTTTACCTCTAACTGAAACCCTAATAAGAGCCTCCGAAAGATCTCACCCCCACACGATGGTAGATAAGATCACCAATAGTAAAAATCTCACTTTTATCACCAACTGAAGCCCTAGACAAACTTTTAAAGTGATCTACTCCTCCAAATATCTCAAGTGTAGCCTGAGCTCTGATACCACTTGTTGTGCACGACGGCCAAATTGATGTGTTTCAAGGAACCAAACCAAAACGTCAAGATAGAAGGCTAAACAATCTAAGATAACAGTACAAACACAAACAACCAATTTTTACGTGGTTCGGCAAGTTGCCTACGTTCACGGGACAAGAAGGGGATGGGTTTTTACTAATAGAAAAAAAGAGTACAAACTAATATTACAAATCACTCAAAACAATAAACTAATCTCACCAACAAATCTCTAATTCTCTCTAAAATAAAACCCTAACCAATAGCTAAAAAATACATCTTTTCTGTGCTCCAACTATCCCCCAATCAATGATTAATCAAAATCAAAGAAACCCTAAAAACGTGTATCTATTTATAACAAAACACAATCTCAAACAGATTGGGATTCTAAAAACGAGTCTGCCACACCCGGGGGGGGGGGGGCCCACACATCTGAAAACAGGGCAGATTCTGCCACACCTGGATGTGGCAGACACCACACCAGGATGTGGTGGAGCTTGTCTTGCTTATTTTTTACGTTTTTCTTAAATTCATTCACCATTTTCATAATTATTAAAACTGATTTCATGCGATTAGTTTCTTACATTTAATTTGGAATTTAATATATCATAGGACGCTTTGACTATGCCCCCGACTCTTCTTGCTAAAAGAGCTTATACACCGCCCTAGAGCTATGAAAGTGTAGAAGGAAGTGACAAAAATGTAGAGAAAATTAATGAATTGAACGTAAGTATAAGATTAATTTTAGATTTGTATATACTTAATGATTTTTCATCAAAGTTTTTAATTTTTATGATATATGATATGCATGCGGTGCTAGAAACTTCTCAAAACGATGTCTTATCCTGTGTCATGCAGTCTCAAAGTACAGAGGACGCTCCTATAGAGCCTAACCGCATGACCAGAGACGAGTGGATGAAAGTTGTCGACATAGCTAACGGTTTCCAATCAAAAAAGAAAGGAAGAGTGCATCTGTCAAGTGCTTGAGTTAAGACACTCACCACCACCAATAAGCTTAGCAACCAATCTGTGACCTCGCGTGACATGTGACACGTCATACATCATGGGTAAGATTGGAAAATACTTATTGAAGAATGTTAAAATTCCATTGCCTTTAAGTTTTCTTCCAACTATTAAGCACGAGTTAGGCGGTGCACAAACGACTTGGGATGTCGTTCATCGACTCATCGATTATCAACCCTTAAAGGACTTGCTTCTGCATCCTATATACACAGAGATTATGGGGTTGACATTTGATGAGCATGTAGCTGCAAGTGGTGGAGAGGTATATGTCATATTATATATGTATTTATTATGAGTATTTTGGAATATATTCTCATATTGATTTACATTCTTTTCAGGCTAGAGGAGATACCACCGTAGGAAGTAGCAGTATGATACGATATTCTGATGCAACCATCACCGATGATAGGGATCACGACGATAGGGACCACGACTATGATGAGTGAGTGGTGAATTAGACTTTTTTGTTACTTTTGTGGACTTTTGGATTGTGTTGAACATATTATGACCTCCGGATTATATATATGTGTGAATTGATGAATGATAAATGTTAATATTGTTGGATATTGTTGGATGTGAATCGATGAATATAAATGTGAAGATTGTTAGATATTATTGGATGTGAATCGATGAATGTGAATGTGAATATTGTTGGATATGAATCGTTAAATGCGAATATTGTTGGATGTGAATCGATGAATGTGAATGTGAATATTGTTGGATGTGAATCGATGATTGTGAACGTGAATATTGTTGGATGTGAATCAATAAATGTAAATATTGTTGAATATATTGTGAATATTGATAGCAACAGGTAAACATTCCCGATTAGGGGGCTCAAAAAGCAAATTTTTTTTGGATTACATACATTAGCGACGGCTATACACTCATCGCCAATGAACATTGGCGGCAGAATTAGTCCCATCACCAATGCTTATTGGCGACAGGAATGACCCATCGCCGATGAACATTAGCGACGGCCGTGTTCCCTTCGCTAATGTTCATTGTTGGAGGGACTAGAGTACCGCCCAGTCCGCCGATGTTCATTGGCGATAGGTCGTATTCCCGTCCGCCATGACATTGGCGGTTCATTGGCGACGAACGTAGTCCGTCACCAATGTTTTCCGTTGCCAATACATATTCGTCGTTAATGAACATTGGCGACAGATGACCCCGTCGCCAATGTTCATTGGCGATAGGATTATTGATGATGGACTGTTTCCCGTCACAAAAGTATATTGGTGATGAATTTTACTACATTGGCGACAGATTTCCTCGTCGCCAATGCTCTGTTTTCTACTAGTGATAACTCCTTCTGTACATAGAGAGATTTATTTTAATTTAAATAAAAAATTAGCAAGTTTTTATAATAGTCTTTTGCCCAAATACATTTCCAAAGTTACAATTTTAATCTCCCAAATAATGAACCGACAATTTTAAGAATGAGTCTAACATTGAGCTTGACTTAATATATGAAGCATTGATATTAAGGGTGCCAAAAGCTATATGTATCTGTGCATATAGCAGTATCCGTATCCGTTAGGATACAAATATAGTTACTAAAATTTATAACCAGTAGGATATGATTATATAATGAAATACACAGTTCCATATTCGTATCCGAAATATCCGAGTACATGCTGATCATACAGTTGCAATTGTTTTAATCCCTTAGACTAATGGATTTGAGACTTATTTTGATGATCAAAAGATATGATCTTAGTTTTTCAAATATAACAAACTCATTATTGAGCTCTCTTGTGTCATATGAACTATATTTTTATGAATATTATTTGGTTTTCTCATATTTAATCCCTTAGACTAATGGATTTGAGACTTATTTTGATGATCAAAAGATATGATCTTAGTTTTTCAAATATAACAAACTCATTATTGAGCTCTCTTGTGTCATATGAACTATATTTTTATGAATATTATTTGGTTTTCTCATATTGTTGAAGGGCTTAATAGTTCGAATAACTATGGAGATTTTCAATATGCAGTATTCAGTGATACACTAAAACTTAGGGGTTTGGGTTTTAACTACTTTTTGTCAAATAGAACAGAACTGATATAGATTCAATCGTCGAGTGTTCTGGAAGTCTTGGGTCTTAGGATTTTTGAATCAAAACAACTTAGTTTCAAGTTCAAATTTTAACCCATCAATTATCCACATTCTTATACATCCATAGGATTCATTTGGACCCTCTTTTACTTAGAATAAATCATCAACCTAGATTCTACCATTGCTAAGTTTGAGGTTCACCAAATGCCTACATTTTTGACATTGGATTCCCTTACTCCTTCTCACAAGAAACTCAAACATCAATGTATCTTCTAAGAGACATAATCTGCCATTTAGAATTCAAAAACAAAGGAAACTAGTGCTAATGCAACTATTCGCTAATCTTTCCTTTTCCAACATTGGATATGATGTCAAGCCAAAACTAAAGGTCTTCATCCCCAAGCAACAACTCCACTAATTTGAAATCATTCACAACTCACTTTGAAGATTTTTTTTCCAAAAGAATAACTCAAAATCATAAAGATGAAGGAAAACCCAACAAGGAAATGTAAACGTATTATTTAGCAAATCACTTGCCTTGGTGATGAAATGAGGTCAATCCCCTCTCCTTTTAGTCTCAAGTGATCCTAACTTCAAAAACCAAGGGTTTTGCTAGAGGAATATCTTAGTTGGTCATGGTTTTAGGTCTCTTGGTGCTCTACTTAGTGGGTTCACCCATTAGGCTAAAGCCAATCTATACTATTATAAAATTGTTTTGGATGTTAAATTTTTTTTCTTAAAATGCGCCCCAAACGCGTATGCACCCATTAAACACATACATACATACATACATACATACATAAATACACTCTAGTTCATGTTCAAACACATACATGCATATATAAAACACATATATACATACATATATAAATCACACCCCTTCAAATTCTTATCATAACCCCTAGTTAAATTAATTATAATAAACACACCTCCAAATTGCAGTTATAAAATTCCCTTACCACTATAAATTTTTTTTCTCATAATTATGTAACATTTTTTAACTATAGTTAGATATATCTATATTAATGTATATTTTTCTCTTAATTAATGTCAACCTCTATATAATTATCTATATATATGTCTTCATGTTATATTTTCCTCTTTAATTTTAGCATTCATATTCAGTTGAGAATTACCAGTAATTGTCTACAACGACAAACCACAACACATTATTAATTATTGGTTTTGATACAAGGGAGGGAAGGGGAGGGGAGTGCTTGAGGTGAACCCAAGGGGAGGGAGTGAAAAGTGAAAGGTGGAATGTACTTAATTGTGTTTGGATAGACAACAAGGGGATGACAAGGTATGATATAACATGTTTGTTTAGAATAAATTATGGAAAGGGATGAAAAATACTTGACTAATATGCCTTTTTAAAGATGTAATAGGCAATTTTATTAATTATGAGTTCAGGTTCTCATAGGTCAATCTTGAGATTTTAAGAAAATTTCATTTGCAATTCTCCTCCCCACTCACAATCCTCTTACTTTAGGAAGACTAGTATAATGCACGTGCTTTGTACGTGGACATGCTGTTGTATTTAATATTATATTATCTCTCTATATATATATATATATATATATATATATATATATATACTAGTATAATGCACGTGCTTTGTACGTGGACATGTTGTTGTATTTAATATTATATTATTTAATAAAGTATATATAAACATTTTACAAGGTTATTTAATTGCACTATGATTAAATTTTTTAAGTTATACTATAATTAATACTCATACTATTATTTGTTGGCCTTCTTGTTTTGATGATGATTTACAAATAATTTACATCTAATATTATTTGTCTAGTGTTTGTGTTTTATATTTATTCTAGGCAAACAATATGTTGGACGATGGATGGAAAAGAGCTTCAACGATCATATCTAATGGAGGTTAGCGGAATTGTGGAGTGAAGCTTATGCAATTCAAGTTCAAGATCCAAGTTCAGCTTCATCCGCATAGTGTACCAAGTCAAGCTTATTGAAGATCAAGATCGGCTTGGGGAATCTAGTTTAGGTTTTATATTATGTGTGTTAGATACTCTAAGCTCAATATCATATACACACACATTTTATTGGTTTCCTTGTATATATATGTAGTCATATATATATATGCAACACAAGTTTTGCTTTTTATGTTTATAAATATGAAATTACATATTTCATATTTATTATTGTGATTTGGTTTAACTACTTAGATATGAAACAAATATATTTTCATATACATACTCATATGTTTCATTTTTTATTGTATTTGTAAAAATATTATATTCTTAGTTTTTGGACTTAACAATAATCATATACATATTTTATTAAGTCTACATAATTATTATACAAAGTTTCAAAACATGGTTTAGCCTAAATGTCAAAATTCATATGTTTACATTTTCGTGTTTTGGATTATATTGTAAAATGATGATATTTCTCATTTGGGAAGTACTTTTAGAAAACCAGTTTTTGTAGCATGTATATTATCATGTCTACAATCATTTCCCAAAGTTTCATAATTTTTAGAATTTATTTGATATTTTTAAATAGTGTTTTAAAATCAGCAAACTATTTTCAAAACCTGAAATTTCATATATCAGTTCACGGTCGACCGTCACGGTCGACCGCGCCCATGTTTTTTCTGAGAAGTCAGCAGAAACTTTCACGGTCGACCGTGGCGGTCGACCGTCAGTCTGTAAGTTCTCACGGTCGACCATTGCGGTCGACCGTAGCCTGTTCTATTTGTCCTTCCCCCCGCCCCCCCCGCCGATCGCCCAACTGTCATATTTGGTACAGAATCATATTTCTGATTCGTTGGGGTTTTTGGTCTTTTGTTTGGGGTTTTTGGCTGAGTTTTTAGGAGGCTATAAATACCCCCTTGATCTTAGTTCTCAACCCAATCCAAGAAATGTTTTAAACAAGTTTTAAAAGAGTTTAAGTTTATTTAGTTTGTTTTTAGGGTTTGCTGTTACAAAGAGGAGTTTGCATCATCTGTTGAGGAGTTTATCTTCAATATCTTCTCATCCTCTCTTTGTGTTTATAGAGAAGTTTTCTAACTCTTTTCTCTAGCAATATTATTATTGATTTTTATAATCTTATTATTGCTAATTTGCTATCTGAGTTAGATTTGATTTTACCCATTGTTTACACACACACACCCACTTGAGCTTATTGTATTTTTATACATAGTATATTTGGGTTGGTGAGAGTTGTAACAATTGAGTGTGAGCTTTTATTGTGTTCTCATCCATATTAGAGAACAATCATTCTTTGTATTGTGCTAAATCATGAGATCACTTTGTAATACACTTGTACACCGAGAGGAGTGTATGGTGAGAGTCGGGGATCGTCCCAAGAGGAGTGGCGTCGGTTGACGAACCTAGGGAGAGGTTATAACCGAGCACTTGAGGGAGACACGGCTAGGTCCAACACTTGTGAGGGTGTAGAGTGGGTTTGTAAGAGTGTGTGTTGTAGAGTTTTCGGTTAGCTAGAAAACCGAGTGTGTAGAAGTTCCGGCTTCCAAACCGAATTGTGATAGTGGATTTCTCCCCGGG